AGTTTTATGTATGCTTTTAGGGATAGACTTAGTTTTGAATACATAGTATAGTCATTAAATAAAAATCATTCACAATAGAGTTCTAGTACATAATCTCTAAGTGATAAATACTAAATTGATTCATTTTTATATGTAATCAAAAGTTCCTACAAAAATTTTCCTAACAGATAAATTCTACAATACATCCAGCTTCTAATTATCTACAGTATTCAATTCCTATCCATAGTCAAGAATTGTGGAATTCTCCCAGTGACACAAAAGCTTTGATATAAATATCGCAATGCTATGAAAATAGATAAGATGGAATTTAAAAGGTCACAAATTTTAAATGGACAATTTAATATGAAAAAGTATGAGTACATCAAACTTCTATATGAAGTTTTCATTGTTTATGTAACTTTATGTAAGGATGTTTGTCAAAAATGTTTGGGTTTTTTTTTTTTCATTTTTTAAACTATAGGTCTCATTTTTATAATGAAAACGTGGTTAGGTTTGGTAAAATTCTTTCGCACAGCATAAAACATTTTTTAAGTGAATTCTTGCCTGCTTTTATTTTAGCCACTTAGTTTTAGCAAAACCTACCAGTTAAACTAGATAAGCCACAATACTCTCAGATCGTCCAAAAAATCTCAAATGAAATTTAAGCTTTCAGGAAAAAGTCTCATATATACAGTAGTACCCCCTTATCTGCGATTTTTGCTTCCCACAGTTTCGGTTATTGGTGGTCAACCTCAGTCTGAAAATATTAAATGAAAAATTCCATAAATAAATACTCATAAGTTTTAAATTGCATGCTCTTCTGAGTAGCATGATGAAATCTTCCTCTGTCCCACTCTGTCCAGTCTGGGATGTGAATCATCCTTTTGTCCTGTGTATCAATGCTGTCTGATACCTGCAAGTCACTTAGTAGCCATCTCGGTTAACAGATCAAATATCATGGTATGCAGTGTGGGTGTTCCAGAAATCCTTAAAATGCCCCTAAGTGCACAATATAGGATATGCCAAAGAGAAGCCATAAAGTGCATCTTTTAAGAGAAAGGGTGTAAGTTCTCAACTTAATAAAAAAAATATTGTATGCTGAGGTTGCTAAAATCTGGTGAGAATGAATATTCTATTTGTGAAATTGTAAAGTAAAAAATTTGTGCCTAGTTTCCAGAGAGACCACATTCATATAACTTTAATTATAGTATATTGTTATAATTGTTCTATGTTATTACAGCCATGTGCTGCATAACAACATTTTGGTCAGCAATGGACCCCTAAGATTAAAATGGAGCAGAAAAATTCCTATCATCTAGTGATGTTGTAGCACAATGCATAACTTATATATTTGTGGTGATGCTGGTATAAACAACCTGCGCTACCAATCGTATAAAAGTATAGCGCATACAATTATGTACAGTACATAAAACTTGATAATAACAAATGACTATGTTACTGGTTTACGTGTTTACTACATTTTTTAGCATTATTTTAGAGTGTACTCTTTCTACATATAAAAAACAAGTTTGCTCTAAAACAGCATGCATGTTATGCCAACAGCACCCTCATACATCTTGTTTACCTCATGTTTACATGCATTTACTGTGTTGATTTAATGACATGTTGTTTTGTACAGTAACATGCTGTACATGCTTGCAGCCTAGGATCAATAGGCTATACCGCATAGCCTAGGTGGGCAGTAGGCTATGCCAACTAGGTTTGTGTAAGAGCACTTTATAATGTTTATATAACATGAAAATCACCTAATGGCACATTTCTCAGAACATATTCATGCCATTAAGTGGTACATGACTGCATTAGTCAAATAGGCTATATTATCAAGTTGACTCTTTACCTACATATAACAACATATTTGTAGACCCATTGTTTCATACTATTATCTCTTATAACGTTTTATAAACTTTAAATTAGATATAAACCATGTAATAGAAAATTCTTAAAGGCCACTTATGGCCATCCTTAAAAAACAAAAACCAAATTTGCTGTCAGCACCAAAGGGTTTAAGGCTATAGCTACTACTTTGTAATGGTTCTGCCAGTCTGACTTATGCTTCTACCAGTTAGTTTTCAATGAAATAACTAACTTTAAGCTCCAAGTTTCTTACAATCATGGATTACAAAAAGGTTCAGAATAAACTAGGAAAATTCCTCAATTGCAGGCCTTTTACAGTATCATAGCAACACTGCGCATAAATCATATCTTTAACTTTTCTGCTGATTTTTTTTTCCCTAAGAGATTTCTAGAAGTCTTGGCTATTGTTTAGGCTATTACATAGAAAACCTTGGTACTAATGTCACACTTATAACAACTGTCTTACATTGGCCGTTTAAAACATATCTGTGATGAAAGTACATAAATCTATCTAAAGAGTTTCCCTAGGGATAAATGTACATTTCAATATAAGAGCAAGTAAATATCTCCAGCTCAGAGTCAATGTATATTTGCTGTCCAAGATTAAATGGTGATGCCAAAAATCAGAAGACACAAGTACCTGGTCCACCTTTATGGTACTATCAAACCTATTACTTGTTAAAAATATTCCAATGATTAATTCATGATAAAGAAGAACAAATACCCTATCAATTAAATATTATATATTTCTCTTTGCCATTAATACTACCTATTCTGACAAATGATTAGCAGTTCCGACTAACAAAATAGTCAAATAAGTTCAAAGTCAAAGTAAGATATGTATATGCCATGTTTTATAAGATGCCCCTTTATATAATAAACATATTCCAAGGAGACTAAATATGTAAGTTGAATTTTTATAAATCAAATCCTAGAAATGCACCAACTGACATGAAACATTTTTATTCGAAAAAAATCATATTCTAACTTATCAGTTTTGTCATTTTCACATACCTGGTTACTTTAAAGTAAGAATCACCTATAGCGTTTAATTTGCAGTTATAACCGCTGGATTTTTTAACTATTCTGTAAGTATTACCATACAAGTATAATTACTTGAAATAAAATCCAATTATTTTGTTAAGTTTATTTTTTAAAATTAAACATACTTCCTTTTTTTTCCTTTCTTCTTCTTTTCTCTTCTTTTCCTCTCTGATTTGGGCCAACCGCTGCTTCTTCCGTTCCAACTCTGCCTTTAATTCACTTTTGTCTGACATGTTTGTGACCTTAAGAAGCATAAAATCATTTACAATCATTGTTACATGGGTAAAATCAGCACTCTTAAAAAATTTGTCTTCAAGAATAGTCTCAAGAGGCCGTGAAGTTCAATGCTATCTAAAGAACATAAACTCTAATTTTAAAATAATGGAAGCATATCAATTACTAAGACTTGAAAAACAAACATGTATATAAAAAAATAAATATTATTCAGAGTTGAGCACAGAAGCTAGCATATAGCTGTTTACTGATCACATGCTCAAATTTAACATAATGTCTCTGGGTTAGCATTAAGAACCTTAACTTATAGATACTATAAGATACAGATGAAATCTATTACCAGAGTTTTAGATTCATTCCTAGAAATCTGATAAAAACATGTGGTCAGACATAAAATGCCTGTCAATTCTAAAAGTGCAATGTAATAGTAATACCGTGGACAAGCAAAACACGAAAATAATCATCATTTGTTATCCAATATACTTAAAGTAAATATATTTTTAGTCAAAGCCCATTAACAAAGTCTGACTAGCGTAACTACATACTGCTGCCCGGCCCGCTCATCTTCACAGAAGCCGGAGCCTCAATGACTCACACGTTCACTTTCTTAAAACTCCAAGAGGATGTCTCTGGCATTTTGTGCTACAATATCCTTGTTTGGGTACTTTCCAACAAACAAATGATGAGGGAAAATGCTATTAACTCAAGTAGTAACGACTTTTACTTATAAAATGGAGCAGGGAGAAAAGGAGTCACTTCTTCCCTGGGGTCACAGTCAAGACGGCGCGCGGTCCAGGACAGTGCGTCCGGGGGAAGGGCCAGTGGGCACCCGACAAGCCTCGAGGTTCTCCAAGCCACCTCCGGACGGTCGGGAAGGGAGCAGACTCATCTCCCCGGCCTTCCCGAGTCACCGCACCTGGCTCTCTCCGACTCTCGTGCCCGGAACCAGGCCAGGCGGCAACGTATGCAGGAATTCTTAAGCCGCCCTTTGAGTCCCGACGTGAGACACCGTAGACAGGAGGGCCTTGAAGGAAGTACAGCCAACCCACCTGTCAAGTGGCGGGATGGAGAAGAGTCCTGCCGCCTGCAAGTTCCCTGTAACGTCCCTTTCCTTCACCCCCAATGCCAAGAGTCACCGCCACTAGCTCTGCGGCTTCCCGAAACACACAAAGAGGGATGGGCGGCGGCTGCTACGGCGAGAGTTTAGGGACAAATGGCTTCATCAGAACGAGGTCGCTCCCAGAAAGAAGGGGTGGGACTTTGCAGCGGGGAACTATAGCCTTTCCGTGACTTACCTGTGTAGAATAGACTCGTCGAAGAGATGAGACAAAGAAGCCAGTCGGCCCAAGGACCAGAGGTGTGTCCGCTTTGCCAAAAACTGTAAGATATTTCCTAATATCCTCGGGATGGTAAGCAGCCACCGCCCTACGGACAGATAGACACGATCTGGGAGAACTACAAGCCCCAACTCCAAGTGAAACTTGCGACGAGCAATGCATTCTGGGAAGTCGTGGTCAACGGTAGTCGCAAAGTATGTTGGGACATGTAGTGTTTCCTAATCTTTCGGTTCTCTACTTAGAGGCCTTCATCCTCCTAAACTCCAATGAGAAACTTCCAGCACTTGTTTAATGTATTCTCATCTGTTGACAAGTGATCATAATGTTGTACGTTATAGCTTAAGATCTTTGACTCAACATTGGCCGAATTTTAAGAATGGTTACTTTCCGAATATATATATTGCACTGCACATTTTGGTGAAGAACACTTTTTAGTGTTTGTATACCAATTTTAGGGTAAAAAAATGCCTTATAGAGGTTTCATGTGGCTTCTTAGGCAAAATCTAAACTACGAAATCTAAATTTTGAAATGTAGTGTAACCCCATTCTGTAAAAAAATAAATAAATAAATAAAATAAGACATTGTCTTTAATTAGGAAAAGATTTATAAATCTTTACCTAGTTTTTGTGAGTACTCATGGTTGTAGACTTGCTTATCTGGAATTGTACAGTTTTGAAAATCAGCAATAAAAATTTGATTCCTATGTTTCCTCTTAAATTTCATCAAGTACTCATGGAATATTCATTTGAGCCTATAAAATTATTACTGTTGGGAAAAAATATTAATCAGCATAGCAAATAATTCTCCAGTACTTTGTTGCAGTGTGGTGGGTAGTATTTTAGTTTTCTCTCAAAAAACTTTGGAAAAGAAAGCATTTTATGCTATTGAAATCTAAACCAAGCAAAAATGATTTCCACAGTTGAGTTTTTAATATACAAAGAAAGCAAAAGTTATTGGAATATGAATTTATCTGAAATTTATGGGTTGACACATTTCTTAAAATTTTATTGAAATAATTTAAAGCATTATTTGGCAAAAATTAAAGCTAACACCAAAGCAATGTCTTTCTTATATTCTAGAAGAATTAACCCAAGTCTAGGATTAACTTTTAAGATTCAAATTATAAGTCCTTGGGCCTGTGCCTAGGCTTTTCCTTATCTTGCTCTACCTATATACTAGATAAATAGCTCAGAAATAAATTTGAGAAAGAAAATTCTTCACATTCCAAGACTTTTCCCCATAACCTAAAATTTCAAAGAGCTTTATAACTATACAGGCATATCTTGGAGATATTACAGTTTTGGTTCCAAAGTACCGAAAATAAAGTATCACAATAAAGCAAGTCATAATCTTTTTTGCTGGTGGAGGGTTTTGCCTTCAATTTGTAAAAAGCTCAACATCTGTGACTGTGAAACACAATAAAATGAAGTGCAATAAAATGAGATATGCCTGTACTATCTTTGTGTTTTATTTCTTCTTTGCTAACACTTAGTTTTTACTTATTAATTTAAAAATTGCTATTGATTGTTTATGATGGTGCCAGGAATGGTGGTGGTTGCTGTATGTATGAGCCTAAATGCATCTCTCTGTTCTCAAGAAGGAAAAACAAGACACTCAATTCAACTAAGTATTATGATCTCATCAAAGAGGGAAATGATGGAAACATTTTGAAACATATTTTTTTAGAATTCCAGAGCTTAGTCTTTGATTCTGGAAGATTTAGTAGAAGTTAACTGAGCGCAAAGATGCAGAAAGGTGCCTTAAGAACAGGAAAGAACATGGCCAGTGTACAAAGGTGTGAGAGCATGGACTACTGGAGAATCTGGCAATTATTCGGAATGGCTATAGGCTAAGACAAGAACTGGGGAATGAAGCCATAAGGAGCAGTGAAATCACAGGCTTAGATTTAGTATTGAAGATTTTGTGATTGCGCTGAGAGATTTTAAGTAGGAGGATGGTATGATATGGTTAACATATTAGACAATTGACCTTTTAAAGTGGTCTGAAAAAGGCTGGTGTGCTGGTATTATTTTCTTTGCTGCCCTTCTCTGTCAAGCTCTATGCCTCTGTGAATTGAGCTCAGCTTTTTTGAGAAATGCCTTGTGGTTGGGTTTGACAAAAGACAGGCCTAGGCAAGTGGACAGGTGGAAAGGGAAATTGGGCATCTCTTCCCTGCTCCCCTCTTTTGATGTTACATCTCCAGCGGTAGTTTCATTCCTCCATGACTGCAGCTTCTGCCAGGTGGGCCCTTCATGGCTCGATCTTTCTCTGGGCTCTGGGAACTTTATTTTTTCCCTTTGTTTCTTTAGCACTTCCTTTGTAGCTAGTCTCTAAGTGCATCATCAACTCTTATTGGATCCTTACCTCTGCTAGCTCTTCTGTAACTGCTCTTTTTATTAAAGTATCTTCATTTGAACTATTTGGATGAAATCTGTTTTCTACTGAGACTCATTGATATAGCTTGTTTGGAGGGATGGGAGATGAAGAGAAGAGACGGGGTGAGGCTAGAAGCAGGGAATGCCATTAGGAGGCTTTTGGATGGAGCCAGAAATTACATGTGCATGAGCCAATGTATTAGCAGTGGGAATTAAGAAATACAGATAGATTAGAGGAATGTTAAGATTTTGTAAGACTTTTATAGCAAAAAAGCAGACTAGGTACATTAACTGAACTTCCTACTGAAAACAACTAAAAATGTATGATAAAATGCTTGTTTCAATGAGTTGGCAAGAAAGTAAAGAATACTTAAGATAAAAGAAGGTGAGAACCTAGAAGGCATTTGCCTAACCTGGTGAATTTTCACAGTCTTATAGGGGTCAAATTATAAGAGACAAAGGCCAAGGCCCACTCTAGACTGGAATTTTCAAAAGGAAACCAACCAATTAATCCTGGATGTAAGAAATCTTCAAAAGTTACTCAACAACTTTGGCACTGAGTGAGATGGAAATGAGGAGGCAAATCTCCTCTGATAATGTTCAATCACAAGTAGGCCCTCACATGGATTTTTCAGCCTGAAATTTCAGTACCTGGTTATTTTATAAAGACATGATGGGAAATTTGGTTGACTGATTTTTTTTTTAGGCGAAGCAACCCTTGATTGACCTCACAGATTGCAAGGATGTTGTCAGTTTACAATCCTTTATTTTTTATTTTTACACCTACAACACCTGGCCTTCCTAGGTGGTCTTCCATCCAAGTACTAACTAGGCCCGACCCTGCTTAGCTTCTGAGATCAGACAGGATCGGGTTTGTTCAGGGTGGCATGGCCGTAGACAGAAATTTGATTTAAAGTTATCCCAGACTTATTGTACTCAGGGAGAAGTGAACATGAATCTTTTTGTAGGAACCTATCTTTATTCCAGGCCTTGAAGAATTCCAAATAGATAAATTTCAAGAAATACGAGCTTAAAAATCACAAAACACAGAAAGAAAGAAGATAACAAAAGCAAGAGCCAGTCAACTAAAACAACAGATAGAATAAGACCCCAAAAAACTTTAGATATTGGAATCATCAGACACAGAATATAAAACGAATATTGTTAACATGTTGAAAAAAACAAAAAGAACGGAAAAACAAAACAAAATGACTAAAACATAATTGTAAAAAGAACCAACTAGGACTTCTAGAAATTAATAATACAGTATCTGAAATAAAAAGCTCAATTGATGGGTTTAACGTAGCTCAATTGATAGGTTCTACGTTAAGAGTACCGTAGGTGGCTCTTACCTTCATCCAGTCACAAAAAACTCTGCAGGGCTAAGGACATAGCCAGTCACACAGAGTCTGTATGTCTCCTTCTAGATCATAATTCTGATACTAGGACCCTGAAATTCCCAACTTAAATGGTCTCAAGCCTGCTTCCAGGTTTTTATGCAGCCCTCTTCCCCAAGTCTCCAGGTCTATCCTCCTAAGGGTAGACTGTGACCTCAGGGGGTGATCAAAAATGGCTCCTGTGGGGCTATCGACGGAATTTGGATTTGTAGGTTGGGTGTCTAGATGTGTATACTTGATGTCCTTTGCTGTGTGGGATGGATAGAAAGGGTAAGGTTTGGGCTTATAGTTAGGAGGCAGCTGTCCCTGTGCCACTATATTATAGGGCAGAGCTCTAGATATCTAAGAATTTTAAATTCAAACATGGTCTTTGTTAAGATAGGAGGAGGAAATATATTCTATTTAATTTTTTGTTAGCTTGATTTCTAACTTTTAACTATATCTATGTCACATGTAGCCTTCCATTTGTACTCATTCCCAGGGTTCAAGAAATATTAGGGGCAGGTCAAGAAGAGAAAATTTGTGTATTAGAAGACAGTACTAAAGAAATTCTTTAGAGTGCAGTACAGAGACAAAAAGACAATATGTAATAAAGATTTAGAAAGATAGAGGATAGGAGGAGAAGGTCTAACAAGCATCTAATAAAGTCCTAGAAGGGAAGCAGAGAGAGAAGATGGCAGAGGCAATATCTGAAAAGATAATTTTCTACAACTGGTGAAAATCACCAATCCACAGATTCAAGAATTCCAATTAGTTGCAAATGGGGTAAATGAAAAGATATCTAGAACTTGACACAGCAGAATGAAACTGTAAAAAATAAAAATAATACAAAACAAAAAAATACCAACACTGGAAATAAACCAAATGTCCATCAATTAGTGAATGGATAAAATTGTAATTATATCCATACAGTGGAATACCACTCAACAACAGAGAGGAACGAACTAGTCAAATATGAAACAGCATTAATGAATTTTGAAAACATGCTTAGTGAAAGAAGACAGGCATAAGTGATTACATGTTGTATGATTGCATTTCTGTGAAATCCTAGACAAGGCAGAACTACAATGACAAAAAGCAAATCAGTGGTTGCCTGGGGCTGAGAGAGAGAGAGTGACTAACTGCTAAAAGGGCAGAAGGGAACTTTTCAGCATGATGAGGTGTTTTGATTACCATTGCTTTATAATAAGTTTTGAAATCAGAAAGCGTGAGACCTCCAATTTTTTGCTTTTTCAAGATTGTTTTTGGATATTTGGAGTCCCTTGCAATTCCATATGAGTTTTAGGATGGATATTTCTGTTTCTGCAATAAAGGACATTGAGCTATTGGTTGGGACTGTACTGAATCAGTAGATCACTTTGGGGAGTATTGCCATCTTAACAAT